TCTGGCGCATTAACCCACAGTGCCACACCAGGACTCCTAAGGGTGTTGTTGTTAAGTGCCATCGAGTCAGTTCCAACCCATAGCGACCCTGTATAGGATTTCCAAGGAGCAGCTGGTGAGCTTGAACCACCAAAATTGCAGTTCAAACGACTTTGCAGTCTGCCGCATTAGCCCACACCGCCACAGCAGGACACCCCTAGGGGAGTAGATATTGTTAAAAAGAGCAAAAAACAAAACTGTGAACACACAGGTTTCATGAATAACCTAGAAACAAATATTGTATATTTGAATTTTATGAGATGAAACCAAAGTTTATATTGGATAATAATTTTGAAGTACATGCGAAATTAACTTGTAAACTTTAAATTTGTAGTCATACCCAATACTATCAAAATCCAAAGATTCTGGAAGTATTAATCCGTTACAATAGTAAAGGACCACATTGGAAAGCGCATCACCTCTAAGAAGGGGGAATAGCAGAATCTGGAAAAAGAAAACAATTTATAAGTATGCTAGAGTGCATGACTCATTTATTGTGTTGTGGTCATGATGCTGTGGCCCCTTTTGACAAATGGAAAAGATAATTATGCTATAACATCAACTGTAAATAGATGTAATGATCTCCCACTGGCAAATCATTCAAGAGTATGAATAAATACTGAGAATGTAATTATGGGAAGAGTCACCTTGGTGAGACAAAGATTTTGGAAACGTCAATGACTATTACTAAATAAAAGCACATTTTCCTTTATGAAAACTGGAGTTTGAGCTGACCTTGTTGGGTGTCTATCAGATTTAAATGTCAGTTAAGAGTTAGAAACACTTCCTGGGTGGCACAGTTAAGCACTTGACTCCTAATTGAAACATAGGCAGCTTGAACCCACCCAGAAATACCCTGAAAGAAAGGCCAGGCTATCTCGTTCTGAAAGGCCATAGACATGAAGACTCTGTGAGCACAGTTCTCCTCTGACACACACGGGGGCACCATGAGTGGGATCTACTTATGAAAAATCATCTACTGAGAACCCTGTGAAGCACAGTTCTACTCTGACACACACGGGGCACCATGAGTGGAAAGTACTTATGAAACATCATCCACTGAGAACCCTGTGGGCACACTTCTACTCTGACACACACGGGGGCACCATGAGTGGGATCTACTTATGAAAAATCATCTACTGAGAACCATGTGGACACAGTTCTACTCTGATATACACGGGGGCACCATGAGTGGAATCTACTAATGAAAAATCATCCACTGAGAACCCTGTGAAGCACAGTTCTACTCTGACACACACGGGGCACCATGAGTGGAATGTACTTATGAAACATCATC